CGCCCGCAGGGCCGCGGGAGCGCCCCTCCCAGCACCGGGGATGCTGAGGGAGACGGAAGCGGTCGGGCCTGAGGACAAAGTTTCGGGGATGGGGCAGGGCCACCGCTGCTCCTCGGCCCCCGCGGGGTGAGGAGGAAATGGAGAGGGACCTTTAACCCGAATGTAAACAATGCCTGGGTTCCCGAGGGAGCGGGGACGGCTTGTTGATGGGGGATGGACGGACCGGTGGATGGATGGACGGACCGGTGGGTGGATGGATGGATGGACGGACCGGTGGATGGATGGATGGATGGATGGATGGATGGATGGATGGATGGATGGATGGATGGATGGATGGATGGATGGATGGATGGATGGATGGATGGATGGATGGATGGATGGATGGATGGATGGATAAGGGAGTGGGCTGTCCCCCACGCCTGGGCCCCCCACCCTCTCACTGTACAGCTGTGAGGGAAATACATGCTCCTCTCCGGGGCCTGGAGTGAACCTCAACCCAAACCCGCCGTCAGCGGAGTCCAGCACCGCCCACTGGGAGCCACGGGGGGTGGAGCCTGGGCCAATGGACAGGGTAGGATGAGGGCTGGCCCGCCTGAGGCCCACCTCTTCTTCCCCGGTTTCCCACTCAGAAGCTACCTCTCCTTTCTCCCAGCCTCCAGCCTCTCTCCCAGTTTGCCCAACTACTCGGACACCTAGGTGTCAGGCCTGGCCTGGTGCCCAGCATAGCAACGTCTAGAGCCCCAGCAGGTACCGGGTCGCATCTCAGCTGGTCTTGCCTGAGACTGCTGGAAACCTGCTACATAGGGTGAGGGAGCTGGCTGCACCGGGGGTGGGGTGAGTGGCTGCTGGAGCCTTATTAGGTGGGGAGTAATTGGCAGTAATTAGAGGAGGAAGACTGAGGCCCATGGGTGGGGTGGCCCAGATTCAATGTTGAGCGTCCCCTCTACCCCCAACCCCCTCTGGAGGTGCCCAGGGCTCCTCCTGGCATTCAGGGTTCTCTGTAGTGCAGGGGAAGGGGAGGGGAGGGGGCGGTAGGGCCGGTCAGTAGAGCTCTTAGTGGCCAAGGCCAGGAAGGGGAGTCCTTTCTCTCCAGGGTGTGGGAGGTGCGGCTGGGTGCCCATTTGCATTTAAGGAGGTTCCTTTAGCTGAACAAAAACTTGGATTCCAGGGGATTAACTTCTGGTGGATCTGGGAGGGCCAGGTTCAGAACCAGGCACTGGTCCCAGGTCCCACGGCTTCCCGCTCGCACTCCCCACCCTGTTTGCCCCTGGGACAGACGGAGGAAAGGGTGCCACTCTCAGCTCTCCCATATTTGCTAAAGGTGGAACATTTTGGAGCTGTGGCCACCTCCCCTCTTTTAACCCCAAATATCAGGCGCAGTCACCTAAGTCTCAGATGACGCCTCTAGGAGGCGCAGAGTGCCCTCCCGGCCACACTGCTGAGCTGGCGGGAGCAGACCCCTCTGCCCGGGCTTCATGCACAGGGCTGGAGGAGACACTGCAGTTAGCAAGAGGCTGTAGAAGACATGAGAACACTGTCACCCACGTATCTTGTTCAAACAGTGCACCCAGGGTGGTCTAGGGGTGTCTCATCTGGGAAAGAGGGCTGATGGGTGAGAGGGACTCGTTCTGTTCCATGAGGTCCAAAGACTGGGAGTAGGAGAGAAGCTACAGGGAACGGATTTCCTCAGGTTCGACCTAAGAATGTTCTAACAGCTGCCCAAAAAGTGTGGTTCTGGGAGGACATGAGTCCTGGGCACCCAGCCCCTGGCAGGCCCTGTGTTTGTTGACTTGCAGAGGGTGTGAGGAGAGAGGCATGAGGGCATGGTGAGGAGGGGGTGCAGGATTTGCTGCATAAGATGGGGGGAGCAGACTGTTCCTCACTCCCCATGGAAGTAGCAAGAGCTGAGCAAGGAAAACGGGATACTGATGGTGAAATCATGCCAGTTGGACCTGGAAATCGGTAGAAGAGCTGAGTAGGTAAAATCAGGCACTGGAGAGCACTTCTTGTAAACAACAGCTTGTGAGTTGAAGTAATAGGCCACCTGGGCTCCTGGGTGGGTGTAGGCAGGGGGGACTGTCAGGGCAGAGGCTGCAGCGGTGAGAACTATAGGCACACCAGGGAAGGGTGAGGCTTGGGGGCCTGTTGCCTGAGGAGCAGCTGAGATGGAGAGGGTTGAACTGGCTGGATGGGCTGGGATTTCCCAAAGCCCGGCCCTCAAGGCTTCAGCACCTTGTCCCTGAGTACTTGGGCAGTCACACAGTTAGCCAGCCAGTAGAAAAAATACTTTTTATTAATTATTAGGAAAAATCCATTCATTTAAAGCAGGGCGTGCCAGGAGGTCAGGTACTGCAGGATGGATGAAGGACCCATGCAAGAGGAACAGTGAAAAGGGGGTGGACTCCACGCTCCACAAACTCAACAGCAACATGAACACAGAATCACAAACACGAGGGCCCGTCCTCAGGCCTCCTCCCACCAGTCCTTCAGCACGAGGCCCAGTGCTGACTTTAGAGGGCTGGTCCCTAGAGGTGCCAGGGCATCTGGAAGTGCTGGACCGGGAGCGGGGTGCAATGTGTGGCTTCGAAGTTGTGCAGATGTTTCTGGGCCTAAGGGAAGAGGCGGGACAAGTGGGGTGCACGGCACTGCAGTGAGTGGCAGCCACCAGACATCTCCCCCCGCCCCCCACCTCGAAACCCACTACCCACTCTATAAAAGCTGCCACTTCCAACTGTCCCCAAGCCCCACATGTGCCCCTGGCCACTCAGGCACCCCCATCTTACTTCCCTCCCCTTAACTCACCAGAAACAAAGCCAGCTGCTGCCTTTCACGTGCACTCATGTCCTCCCCTGCAGAGAGGAGGTGCTCAAACATGGCCCATGCATCTGGGCATCTATCCCCTTCCCGGGCTCTTCCCAACCCCCTCTCCTGCCCCAGGACCGCCTTACCCACACTCCAGGGGAAGTCTGGCCCGTGTTCCGCCTGGTAGGAGCGGAGGACAGACAGACACCAGTCTTCCTCTACCTCCCATCGGCTGTAAATCGAGGCTAGTCAGGGAGAGACATGAGGGCCCGTCAGCACCTGGCTTTGCCAGCCCCACCCAGAGCCTCACCAGATCCCCTCTCACCTTCCTCCAGCTGCGAGGAGGCCTCCAGCCACTGCCTCACCACTTGAAGACCCTCTTCTGCCATCACATGGGGATACCTGCAGGGGCGATGCCAGATGGGAGTTAGACCCATTCGCTTCACTCCTCATCCCTGAGCCTTCTTCCCTTCCTCCTGGTGCTGGTGTACACACATGTACACATATGTACAGGTAGGTACACACACACCCTGGCTCTCACCGATGCTGCAGGAGCTTCAGCAGGAGATCGTTGCCTCGGTTGGACATGATGTCCTCAGGAGCCCTGGAGGTGAGAACGTACACTGGAGGGGAGGAAGGGTTTGGATACCTGGGTTTCTAGTGGGCAGAGGTGAGCAGGGCAACTGTCTGGCTCTCTGGGACCCAGGAGGTAGAGGTTCCCAGGACTCACGTGGTGGTGATGATCTCATCCTTGGTTCTTCGGATCAGCAGCACCGGGCCCTGGTACCTTCAGGGGACAGAGCAGTGGGGCGGGAGAGCTCAGGGAGGCAGGTGGCAGCTGGCCACCTCATCCTGCACTGGCTGTATTCCTAGCCCCTGCTCACCAGGGCCCATGGGCTAGACCAGCCGTGGGCAAACTACGGCCCGCGGGCCGGATCCGGCCCGTTTGAAATGAATAAAACTAAAAAAAAAAAGACCGTACCCTTTTATGTAATGATGTTTACTTTGAATTTATATTAGTTCACACAAACACTCCATCCATGCTTTTGTTCCAGCCCTCCGGTCCAGTTTAAGAACCCATTGTGGCCCTCAAGTCAAAAAGTTTGCCCAACCCTGGGCTAGACCCTCACCCAGGGATGAGTCAGAATATTTAAGGGCCTGCGTCGACCTATGAACCAGGTCTTGGTTCACTTCCCGTCAGGGCACATGCCCAGGTGGTGGGCTCGATCCCCAGTGGGGGTCGTGCAGGAGGCAGCTGATCGATGATTCTCTCTCACCATTGATGTTTCTATGTCTCCCTCTCCCTTCCTCTCTGAAATCAATTTAAAAAAGAAGAAGAAGGTGGAGGGTCCCAGGGACCTGGATTAGGCCATCTAGGGTGGGGGCAGGGTCACTCAAGGGATTTGGGGCGGTGGTCACTTGCCAAGTTGCACTTTAGTACTAACTTCAGCGGTTGCACCCCCAGCAGAGCTGTGAGGGGGCTCAGGGGGGCAGGTGTTACCTGCACAGCTGCTCTGCGTTGTTTAGATTGAGGTGCTGCCTCACGGTCCTGGTCACCAGACCCCCTAGAGTGGGACGAAAGTGAAGGGAGAGCAGAGACAAAGCCCTTGCCCAACACAAAGGTCTTCGCTATTCATGGGGGAGTCTGCTTCTCAGCAATGGGCCACCCACTCCGCGCCATGGAAACGGGAACCATCGCCAGCTCACAGCGCCAGGGCAGCCCACCCCCTGCAAGGCAGGCCTGCGCTGTACTCACTGCAGCTGTCTGGCATGACTTTTAAGGCCAAGGGCACCAGGTCATCAAAGGAGGCATCCAGGATCACGGCACTAATGTCTGGGTAGGACATGGCTGCCCACGTGGCTGGTACCAGGACCGGGAAGAAGGGCAAGGACTGAGGGACTCCCGCCCACCACCCCAGCCTCCTCCCACTGACCCTGTAGGCTGACCCCACCCTCCCTACTAGGTTAGCCCCAGGGCTCTCCTGGCCCTCATGTCACTCGTGGGCACTGCCTGGAGGACGGAGCGAGACGATGACAGTGCACTGAGACAACCCACAGGAAGCTTCGCCTCCCTCATCTTCCCAGCCCAGGCCCCAGGTCTACTTGTGAAAACGGGGTGTCAGTGTGGAAGGAAATGTGAAGTGTATGTGCACAGGATACCTTCGTCCAGACCAGCCCGAGACCCTCTCCTTCCTGAAGCCTCCACCCCACTCCGGGCCACTCCCCTTGGGGGAGGGGGAGCTGAATGAGCGTACAGTGTGGGGAGGAGGGAGGCTGGTACCAGTGAAGCCGCCGATGGACCAGGCATAGAGGATGATGTCCTGGGGCTGGAAGCCCAGGCGGTGAACAGCAAACTGGACCACCACGTCCATGGCGTTGGCCTCATTCTGTGGGAATGGCACCCCCTGCAGGAGGAAGGGCAAAGGCAGGAGTGGGTCAGCACCACCGGCCAGCCGGCCTGCCGCCCACACCCTCCCAGAGTGGACCCCCCCTGCAGCTACTCTGCAACAGAGGAGTAAAAGGGGGGGCTCTCCCCAGAAACCAGCGTGGACAGAGATCCACCCTCTGTCCACTGCCTTCCCTCCTGCAACCCCCCTGTGAGGGGCTCCCCATGCCTGCAGCTCCCTGCCCTTGGCACCCAGGTCACAGATGAGTGGGAGCCCCACAGAAATATGCAGAGGGTCTCACCGTACTCCCGGCAAAGCCTGGATGGTTCCAGCCCAGGACTGAATACCCAGCTGCAACACAAGGTGGGGAGGGGCTGGGGCCTCCTGGCCTACACCCCCACCTC